ATTTTACCCATTGAAGGAAATATGCAATAACGCGTGATATCAACAACTTACATATACTTTTATATATCAGTGGTATGTCTTAGTTCCGATTATACAAACATACGTTAGAATTTTGCTCTGGACATGCGAGTCGTATCAACAATAATCCTTGACTGGCCAAAGTCTACTTTGACTGTTTTATCAATACTAATTTACAAACAATGTCTTCTATCAGTATTTGGATACACAACTGGACCCTATTTCCAATGTAAGTCTGATGCACCAACGGCACTTTCGGTACTAAACAGTACCTTGTTTTAAAATAAAGACCTCTGTTGCTGCTAATGGATGGAATTCCCGCCTACGTGATTCAAGGATTGAAGTCGAATGTGTTTATGGAATTTTTAAGTATAAAAAGGATTAAGTTAGTAATAAAATTTTATGCTTCAGCTGTTTTGGGTCAGTATTGCCTGCCAAAAAATTTATGATATAAATAAGAAGATGTTGTGTGAGTGCCAATGAGACAACTATCCATCCAAGTCACAAAAAGATTAAAAAGTAAACAATTTATAGGTCAAAGTACGGCCTTCAACACGGAGCCTTGGCTCACACCGAACAGCAAGCTAAAAAGGGCCCCTAAAAGACCAGTGTAAAACAATTCAAACAGGAAAACCAACGGTCTAATCTATATAAAAAACGAGAAACGAGAAACAATTATGAACACACCAACAAACGACAACCACTTAACAACAGGCCCCTGACTTAGGACAGGTGCATACAAATGCAGCAGGTTTAAACGTTTAATCAGGCGCCAACCTTCACTCTAACCTGAAACAGTGGTATAACATTACAACATAAAAAGACACGATGATCTTTATTTCATACAATTTACAATCGTTAGTTTGTCGAGGAAGAAACATTGTTTTTTGGTTTACGTTTAATATTGTGATGAGAAATAGTATTTTCAATTTAATTATGATCATTGTCGAGTTTATAAATATATAGCTTTGCATTTGGTAAATGTAAATTGTGTATAGGTGTCTGGATGGGGTCAGTATTGCCTGCCCTCCTGATGTTTTTACACATTATTAAGACTGGTAATGTTAAAATTTGATAGGCTACTAATGTATTGTATTGTTTTCGTTTATTTTATTACTCAGTTTAACTTCCTGTATGTATACATGAATTGTTTTTAGATCATGTTATTGTTTTCAGCGTTGCCTATTTAATTGAAATTTACAATTTTTCAGATTATATAATTTATATTAAACGACATGATGGTTTATCCCAATAAAAAGTCCTCTAGCTTAGCTGTGCTAAGTGAATTTGGTAGGTTCCCGTTAAATTTTATAGTGATATTATCAATATGAAATATTAATATTAATATCGAATGCTGGTCTTTATCCATTCATTAAATTTCTAAAAAGCTGAATATCCAAAATTCAGATGTAAAGCTTAACTTTTTTATAAAGTCATCAGTTAAGCAAAAACGTTGTAGAAGGTTTATATCAATTAGGAACACAGCAAAAATTAAAGAGTAAAAAGTACTAAATTAGATACTTATTTACTTATTGCAAACTAAAAACTTGTTTTCCTTCAGAAAGGTCTCTATCTTTTTACAATGGCAAATGTAAAATGAGAATCAGTGCCCATAATCTCATAAAAGAAAGAGTCAGATATAAAACTTCATATATAGAAAGAAGTCAGGGCTTTGTAAAAATGTAGTTTTATTTTGTTTGAAGATTAAAGATGAACAACATTTTATTATTAGTTGTCCAGTATACAATGATTATGGAGAGCAGTTTCAGATCTCTCAAATGAGGCAAAAATATTTTTGGTTAATTACTGTACTAATAAAATTGTTTGTTCTAAAATATTTAGGGGATTATGTTATCAAATGTCTAGATGTAAGACAAATGTGAATAAATATACTTAATAATGATCATTATTGTAACATAATTGCTGTGGTCCTGTCTGGAAAAAAATTACATCATTTATCTTGTTGATCAGGAAGAGATAATTTAAAAGTAATATATGAAGTTTAAAATTATATGAACTTTAATATTTCATTTCAATGTGGAAACGTTTTACAAAAATATAGTGTTATTTTTTTGTGTATCTGATTGTCATGCTTCCAAATGGTAACAAGTTATATATAAACTGTGTTTACGTCGCCAGAGTCCTCGGGTGGGGATGCACTCTTTCAACCTAAGAGTGGATGTGTGGCAGATTTTTCTCCCCACCTTTGCTATTCTTTGTCATTTATTCAATTGATATGATTTTAGTTGATGTAATTTCGTTTTAATTATGTATTATATTTCATATTAATTATGAAATTTTATGTCAAATGTTATATTGCAAAAATGTATTTTTTGCATTTTATGATTTTGAATAAATGACCTTTTTTCGTCAATTTAGTTTTGATATCATATAGCAAAACAAGCTCAGACTCTGGCCTGTGTATACATTAGTATGTTTATGGTATCCAACTGTCTGTCTTAAATACCTTGTTAGGTCACTAGCACACTTTGTAACGAATTTATCTTTCCGACTATCTTAACATGTGGCATTTAGACTAGTGGCCTATCAAAGTGATCAAGTCTTGAATATAAAGAACCTACTTCCATTGGTCTATACAAAAACAAATGCCAATAATAACAACTTGTTAGCTCTTAATGTGTTTTCTGCATTTTTTTCAATCGTTCATCATCAATTACTTTGTTTGTTGAAACGTTTCAGATTTTTTTCTCAACGTGTTGTTTTTATAAAGGGACGTAACACCACTACTAACCGTGTATTAGAATACGCCCATATCACATATACACGGTCTCCACGCGGTAGCTTTTTACCAATAATATTCCTAGAAATGTATAGGAGGTGAGATAGAAAGTCAATACACGTGTTGTTTGTCGAAAGTGTTAAACACGTTTAGTCACGATGTAACATAAATAATAGCATTGCTATTTTGATTTTGGTTTTGTTACGTTCCAATAGTGAATTTGTGTCCTGAATTGATTTATCGTATCCTTTTTCCATTTCGATAGTCTTCAACAACAAAGGACCCATTATTTATAATAAGCCATAAAATACTCTTGAAAAAAAGTTTTGAAATACACCAATAATGACCTAGATTAAGTCAGTAGCATTTAACTCAACAAATTTAAAGGCGACAAAGGCAAACACTGGACTACTAGTATACAGCTTCTTGACTTTTGAAAACCTCATTATGGGAGACGGTTAAGGATGTTCGCTACTCTGTTTCAAAACAACAATCTTTTTAAAAGACTGTTATAAATTTATAGTGTATAAATAAAGAAACCAAAAAAAAAGCAGAAGAAAATGAATGGTCCGTGTGCTTGATTTTGAGATATAATCCATTGAAAATTTGGCGGGAAATGATTCTCTCTAGATTTTTCATACTTTTAACATTGTCCGCTTTTCTCTTTTAAAAACTATGAAAAAATAACAAGGCTTTTATAAGATTTTCAAATATGACGTTTAAAACTATATGAAACAAAATTATGAAAAGAAAAGTAGGGGTTAGTGGACAAAATTATTTAATGGTAAAACATGGATAAAACCAGAGGATTCCGAAAATCTGGCAAAAATTCAAACACAAGAGGAGCGAACTTCCTAAAACACGTTTATAGGAAGTATAACCAGTCAGAACCTAATATACACTGTTATAGATAAAAAAAATAATGCAACAAACGGTAAAATAGGACAGTGGCACTTGGTTAAAAGATTTTGACCTATTCTTTTTTATGATATTTTTACCGAGTAGTGATTCGCATGACAGGTAATGAATGCATAGAAGGAGACTGTTATCCTGTTGACGCAACCATTATCGTTCATTTTTGAATACATGCGATTCCGTCAGATATTTCTATTTCTGTTTTACTTTCGTTTTCTTAGTCGAGTGATGAAAATTTGTCGGTTTCACAAAAAAACTTACGACTAAGATTGATCGTAAGTCATGAACAATTCAGTATACTTACGAACAATATTAGTCGTAAGTTTTTTTTTGTGAAACCGACTCCAGTAAACAACTATTGCCTCATTTCTAAAAGAAACCTTTGTAATATAAAAATGATCAAATCGAGTTCTAACGAAGACAGTATCAGTATGTATAAAAGCATTATTATTGTATTATTTCACGTTATCATATTATCAAGGTAACAACACCATATAATGTAAATAGATATTAAAGAAGTACTAAATTTTACACATAAGTTTCAATACCATTACACCAAAATGTGTATAATAGATTCATACAAACACGACAACTACACTATACAGGTCCCTGGCTTTTTGAAAATTATCATGTTGAACAATAAACATGTATGTAAGAGGTAAATACAGACATAACCTGGAACACTGTCATAAAACCATAAAAAAACACGCATAAAGCTGAAAATTAGGATATTCAAAGAAGATAATTTCTACTCATCATATGCATATAAGATTTATCTAAGGTCGTTCCGTCCAAAAATATCAGACTAATAACAGTATAAATGATATTATATTATTCAAAGTTTAAAATATTAAGGCAAAAAAAAAAACTGCTTTGTTATAAATATTATCTATATACAATGGCAATTAGGTGAGAAAACGAGAATCACATCTTCTTGAACAAGACACTTCCCCGATTACGTAACACAAATCAGAAAAGACACGCACAAAACTTTTTGGTACCTTAGAATAAGTTTGGATAAAATATTATCACAAATGTTTGGGTTTAGTGGATATGAGATGTGAAAGATGTTAACTGAAGAAATTTCACATGTATACTTACAACATGGTTATTCAAAGGAAAACAATATATATTTTTTAAATAGCCTTCTTAAGTTTATTTCATTAATAAACTGCTATTCCGATATTTCCATTGATTTTAACATAGAAAGATTATAAATGTTGCGTCATTGATAACGAGAGTGGGACTCAAATAGTAAATACAAACTGACCTATCGTGTGCTTTTCTTATAAAATTTCTATTATTACAAACAAAAGAAGTGAACACATTAATTCAATAGACTATATTTCAAACTGTATAATAAATAATAAGTGTAAAGGGTATATATTTTTCTTTTGTCGCATGCTTTGAAGTGTTCAACATTTTCTTTCCTTGAATAGATGTATCATTTTTCTAAGACACGTTGACGTTTCCGTTTCGTTGTGCACAGTTTATGCTGATTCCAAAGCCGGTCACTTTACAGAGACAATTATGAAACAATTTTCCATGGTTTAACACACTCATATACTCATTATTATGTCTACAATGACCATAGGCATCTTTACATTCTAAAATTAAAAGAACAAAAAATATAAATAATTATATCACGATGCTTTACAGGATGGAAATAAAAATACTGACTTATTGAAAATTTCAATGTGACAGTAATTAAACAGAGTTTGATGTGAAAAACCTACAAAACTAATAGAACATTATTGACAAATTTTGAAATGATTCTATCTGTTATTTATTCCCCGTAGCGGCATTTGCAAGTCCTTCTCCAGTTGGTGGTTATCAAAATCAAAGGTTGTGTAATGTATCAGTATGGAAGCGAAATATAAAAAAAAAATGAATGTCATATTAGGATGATTTATAATGGTGGATGAGTTGTTTCACAAAAATTATCATAGAAATTACTGTTATTTTTTGCATGATAGTGCATTTTTTTGTACATCGATTGTACACATGCATCAGAAATCTCTATTCGTACTGACATGACAAGGCATAAAAAATAAATGTTTTTCTTTCTGTTTTTCTTAAAACATGATTCATATTTCGCTTAGACAATTTAACATATGTTTTGTACCTAATTTTACAAATGCCGCCTTCCAAGTGTTGCCTTGACCACGCTGACATTCATACGTTATACAATCCTTCTCCCATCTATCACCAAATGATCTGCAAGTTCCACTTACATTACAGTCACAATCAACAGTAGGCGGTTGGTAAGACTCTACAAAAAAAAAAGTACTCAGTTTACTCTATTTCCTCTGAGACTTGTAAATAATAAACATGATAATTTAATCCATCTATCCTTTATGACTGCCATGGTATTCGAATCAACATAGGAATTTATCAATTTTATGCACATAACTATATGCACCATTAGTGGAGTATGAACTTATTATCCTGCTGTAGCAATTGCGTTAATTTTAAATATAAGACATCTAGAAGTCGACATAAGTTTACTAAAAGAAACGTAGAGATCGACAAATGTCCATTTGAGTTCAAGTTACAGTAAATGGAGTAAACAAAGGAACATTCAAATCATTCGTCGAAAACAAACTGACAATGCCGTGGCAAAAAACAAAAAAACGACGAAAAGACAAACAACAGTACACAAAACACAACATAGAAAACATAGCGCAACACGAACCCCACCAAAAACCGTGGGTGATCTCAGATAAAATGGAAATATATGTATCAACAACATAAAATTTTGTAAGTAAAATCTATAGATTTGAAATAAGAGATTTGATGATTTTAAGACAAATTGAAAAACGTTTTTATCCGATTTGATTTGCTTTCTATACAAATAGAAAAACAAAGGATATGAGGTATCCATCCATGACACAAAATAAGAACATGCGCAGAAGAAAATACAAAAAAAATCAATCAGTAATATTTCAGAAAATAGATGTTATTGAGATAAATGCATTATTTGTTCGATTTTCGTTTTTCCATGACCTTAAGCCAAAATAACGTGATAATTTCAAGTAATTCTAATATTAAGTACAAGCATTAGTTAAAAAAATAAACCCACCTTCTGCTGATGAGAGATTTTGCAATACCATGGCACAAATTAAAAGAAACATCTGAAATCAGACAAACATATAAATTATGCAACAGTTAGAGGTTTAAACATATCCCTTCGGCATCTTTCGCCTCTCTTCTATCTGATACAGTCGCGCGTCTGATTTTGTCAGGTTGTTTGGACTTCCTCCTTTTTACCTTGATTTCGGTAATGTTATTGAAACTTTTTAACATTATGTCAAGTGACAAACATTCAAGACGGGCATCAAACTCAAAAGTTAGAGGAATAAAAAATCCATGATCTAAGAAATAAGATAACACCATGTAAATAAAAAAAAGAAAGAAAATGCCATAAAAGTGCACTAAACACGATACGAAAAACCAATTCTTATAACGAATCCCATCAACAATGGGGGTCAGGAGACCTCGTATGCTTCGACAGAGTCAGTTGATGCGGATCAACTGATAACACTCGTGGTGCTACTCCCGTCAATTCGAAATATAATGTAACCAGTGAAAAGTCCTGCAATTCAAAGTAACAAAACAAAAACCGGAAGGATACGCGTAAACCGACAAATAGAGGGAACGATGCGTCGAAACGGTAAGCATCTCTTGCCATGCATGCACCGACCTCTATGCAAATCTACAATAAAGCAAACAGTAGCCTAATGAAAAATTCTGGTCCTTAACAAGTTGATTACTTATTTGTTTTGTGTTAAAAGAAACGATATTACTTAAAATACAAATCATTCTATAAAGAAAGCCTTCATTTCTCTGTTCTGCATATGAGCGCATTCGTATTTGTCGATAAAAATATCACTGGCTACTTGAATTTCAATGGTATTTTAGTGTATCATATTAAATATTAATAAGTAAAACAGACAAGCGTAACACAAGTTCAAATAAAGCAAGCTGTTGAGCAAAGCTTACCATTATCTAGTATATGTTATTTTTTATGTTTCTCTTACCTTTCTTTTCCAATCTGTTTTCTATGGGTGATAAATAATTTGTCGCTGAAAGTTAACTTTCGTCATATATATATATCTGACTCTTTTAAAAAAAAAAATCTGTTTATAACAATGCCAATTTATTTATTTTAGTATAACATGTTTTAACAAGTAAATATTAAACGAAATGAGTGTTTAGTAAAATTATGCCATTACTCTAAAGGTCATTATTGACACAATGTGCGCATCATTTTGCACATTTATCATAGTATAATGTTCGTAAATGTCCTTCAGACTTCGAGTGAGCACTCAACGTAGACAGTATTACCTTAATTGTTTGACATTTCTTATATTCTCTCGGATAAATGACAATCATGATAATTCCATTATTTAGAAGAATCATGCGTTTTATGTGTAATCGTACTCAGTTGATGGCGTTTACGATATTCTAGAGCCATTTCTCAAAATGCCAATATTATTAACATAGATATAATTTCAAAAAGGTTTCCCCAAAGATCAACTAACATTTCCCGCTTATTTATTTCTATGGTCGCCATCCAGCATTTGTTGATCGTTATAGTATAACCAACTATTGGAACATTGTAATTCTGTCATAGAGCTGACTTGTCCACTATAATTATTCTTATGTTATTAACACTTCTATTATGTTTCTTGCTTTTGCCAATGTTGTCTCTTATTTTCCACCCTCTGCTAGATATAACATTAAAATTATATGACGGTTGATGCATGACGATTGTATATCAAGATATTCGTACTTAGTCGACCTATCTGGTCTCTCTCAGTTTAATATTTACGCAGGTAAGATTGGTTTAATTTTCTATTGGTACTTTATGAAAATTATGCGTTCATCTGAGGATTTCATCACCCCTTTAATAGATGACTGCTATTTTTCATTACCTCTGAATGTCTGTTTGTACCTGAACTTAAAATATTTCTCGGAACAATGCATTGTAATTTTAAATCAGTTAATATGAAATTGGAAAATATCATCAACATGTCCTTTAATTATATGAACTGCTGATGAAAAGCTACCCTTGTATTTACTATCCTCTTTCATAAGACATTTACTTTATTGTTTTACGGTAACACAATATTAGTTGTATAGGTGACAATTGCATTGTCTTTTCCCTTTTTACAATGCATTTTCCAATCTAATATATCATGTCTTTTATTGCCTCTTTGGTGTCTTCGGCAGTTCTTTTAAAGATGTTTATTTCATCTTGACAACTTCTATGGACATTTCGGTGATACGGTTTATCCGCAGGTCGTAGGTTTTCCAATAGGCACTTCCTGTGTCCCTTCCTTTTATCGTAGATTTATACGTGTATTGTTATAAATCCAACGTTTTTGGTCAAACCCAGTAAAATAGGACTTAATTCTATTTATAGAAAGATATGATAACACGTCTGTTACCTTGATGATATATTTGCCAAAAATGTGCAAGATTTGTTTAAATATACAACGGCAATTTTCCAAAATACTGTAAATTCAGAAATTATTGCGATGTTTTTATTATTGCGAAAAATGCGACAGGGTTATAATCGCAATAATTTAAACTCGCATTTTGAAATTTTTAAAATGAATTTAACACGATTTTTCTCAATATCGCAAAAATTAAAATCGCATTTTAGTCTAAAATGACAAAATCGCAATAATAAATGCACGCAATGATTTCTGAATTTACAGTAAACTTACTGTACTAATTTTTCATAAACTCAAACCAATGTGCGGAAGATAGGTTGAAGCATACCTACAAACGGGATATCACATCCCGATTTTTTCTTTAATGTTGTTTTTAGGGCCGGCAATGTTGATACCATGTATAAGGTCATCAAAGATACTAGGCTTCTAATTTTGTTCGCCAGACGCGTGTTTCGTTTCAAATTAAGACTAATTTGAGAAAAAAACGTATTGCTCCTTCGAATTAACTTATTCTGAAAAACAAATCAATTTAACACTGTAGTAAGATTTTTGAATTTTGTCTTCTTCTGTACCAATATTGAAGTTGTTTTCAAGAAATTAAAACATACCCGAGTATGGCTATACTGTTGTCAGTTATCCTACATCTCTTCGATACTTATATTTTTGCGATACACAATGTCATGCTTTTCTCAGACGACTGTTTATGACATCTTTATTCTCATTCCATTGGTTTATTAATCCGGATGGTTTATGTATTAGTTGTAATAGGCTTTCAACTTGCTTTAAGTAACTAATGAGATCGATATCTGCTGTGTTTGTCTTTTCTTATTGTAATTAGTGTAACTACTGCCAAACCGATCAGTCAAGCATTGTCAAACTGATTTTTATAGTGTGTTCTTATGTTGTGCGGTTACTTCACAGTTACAGTTATAAGAGGAGTGATGAGCGCTCACAAACATGTAACACCAACACATTGTTTAATAGCATATCCAAAATAAAGGGTCTATAATTTAGTGGTTGACTTTGGTCGCTATCTGAACAGTTATTTTGTAAGCATAAATTAAAGGAATGTGGACACACAAAACGCGTAAATCCAGAAAAAGCAATGATTCCTTCTGGAAGTAAATGCCATCCTAAGCTTGCAAGCAAGACTATAATCAGTGACAAATACGGACTATGGCATCAACATTTATTGTATTTCTAACCCTCCAAATTGCAATTAATAAATGTTTGCGTTCGTATTTTTGGTATTTTTGGTATATTGGTATTTTGGTTTGTAAAGTTTCGAAGGGTCAAAATACTCAATCGGCCTGTCACGATAATAACCAAATATATACAGGTATGGAAGGACTATAGGAATATACGGATATGGTCATACGAGTATGGTGCAAATACCCATATGGTCTAGAACCTTCAAAAGATGTGTTCCCTATCACCAAATCTTTAAACCTAAAAAAAAAGAGAGAAAGAGATAGGGGAAAACATAACTCATTGATCTGATAACATCGAAGTTATGTTTAAATCAATGAACAAACACCACTGGCCCAGGTTAGGGAGAGGATTGAGCGCTCACAAACATGTTTAACCCACATTCGTTATGTTCCTGTCCCAAGTTAGGAGCCTGTAGTTCAGTGGTTGTTTTTGGTTCATGCCTGTCATATTTGTTTTTTGTAACCTACTGTTTTGTTATAAATTAAGCCGTTAGTTTTCTCAATGGAATTGTTTCATATTTTTCATGTCGTGGCCTTTTATAGCCGACCACACGGTATGAGTTTTTCTCATCGTTGAAGGCTGTACGGTTTCCTATAACTGCTTACATCCACTTCATTTGAACTTTGGTGGATAGTTGTCTAATTGGCAATCATACCACATCTCCTTATTTTTATAATGCAAATGTATTGCATCTTTATTTGCATGGAACACATACGTTCACACACGTATTGGTACGCACAAATACAGCTATCTTTTGATGCAGGTTGACAGTGACTACATCAAAAACATCAATCAAACCCGAAACACAAATGAGAACAACAAATTCATGTAACATTGTTTAGTTTTTTGTTAAACTAGATTAACGTTTGAGTGACAAATCTTGCTTGATTTTTAATAATACTTTCACATAATTATTACAATGTCTTTACAAAGCATTATTGGTGTATTGTTCTGGTCAATCTAATTAGAATCAAATACGTTGCTTATGTATTCGATGAAATTATAAAACGATTGTTTTTTGTTTTAATTTTGTAGTTTTTTTTAAGAAAGTCTCAAAAATTAAAAAAAATTAAACTGAAATTATCTTAAAAATGTGGGACCTTTTCATTATAAGTGTATATTTTCTGGAAATTAAAAAAAAACAAAAAACGCCCAACATTTATTTATAGAAATTACACTCAATACTAAACCATATATGTGAATAATGTGTATATGGCTGACGTCATGCATACAGTTTACTCACCAAACAAAAGTTTGCTGTTGTTGATGTAATATACGTTTATTAAACCTTAATCATAATCAACTTTACAGGGTCAATATTGTTTGAGGGACTGTTTGTAAAACTTAAAAATCGGTTAGAAGAAAACATACCAAAACTAAGGCAATTAATGAAACTTAGATGGTTCTAAGTACAAATAATAGTAACATAGGACTAAAACTTTAGAAGAAAACAAAGCAAGTTACATTAGCAGACACATCTACAAATAGTTTGTTTAATATTAAAACTAACCTTTTGAAAATATGATTATAGCAACGATAAAACATTTAAAAAACCTTAGACAATTATTTACTTATCAGGGTTTCCGCTGGCAAATATATAATTGGGCGATTAAAAATCATGATTGGCGAACGAATTTGGCGCAAGAAATATAACGTTTGGCTTCGTCCATCTTTTAAATTTTGTTTAAGGTTTCTCTGACTTTTTCCGAAATTAAATGATACTCGGATTTCACGTTGAACTCATATCAAATCAATGATCAGCTGATTGCAATTGATAGCAATCGTCAACAATAGACTAAGTAATAAAGGTGTTTATTAAATTGTGTGATAAATTGGCGTCACACGCATCTTAAGGATTGTTTTTACAACTTTGATAACAATCATTGTTTTGGAGAGGGTACTTCACAACTGTTTTAGCGGCGCACCTTTTCTAAGCATGCACGGAACCTTTTATATACCCTGTTACTGCTGGTCCTTTAGATTATGATTTTCTAATATTCAACTTTTACAATACTAGTTTTGTACCTTCTACATAATTGTCTTCTTAACTTTGTCAGTGAATACTGTTAAAATTAATTCACAAACTGGCATTGTTCAAAAGTGAAATCCCATCGAAAGATGTTGTCTGGTCTAATAAATTGCTTTACCTTTTGGTAGTCGCCTGTTTTGTTGATAAGAAAAAAAAAATGTATCCTAAATAACTTATTCATATAAGTACAGTGTTACATGTCTGCATGAAACAGGAATTAAATCGGTTGACATTTATGTAAATATCAGTAAAATTTAATAAAAACATATACTATGTAATTTGATTGTTTGTCAGTTTCAAATAATAACCATCATTATCAAATCAGTTCAGAACCCAATAGTAAAATTGCTTAATATACAGAAAACAGATGTATGCGATGTTAAAAACAACAGGGAATGCATTGCGCTTTCACTTGTAATTGAATTTTGATGTTTAACGGTCATTTTG